CTATATATGCATTTGTGAACTGTTATTTACGATATTTGTAATCATTTTTGTTTAATCACTTTATTTCGACTTTTTTTGCTAATTATGTTTTCGCTCGAACTTCGTTAAAATCTTAACTGTACCCCGAACAACGACCGAAGTTGTAGGAAGAAATTCGCCTATTTTACCGATCTAGGTATCGCCCTTTTTCAAATTTTAATATCGACTCGAAATAATTTAAAAAGACAAATTACAATAAAACGGTTTATTATCTAACTATCAGAAATTTCCCAACATGCCAAGGAAGAGAGGAAGGAGCAATTAAATAATTAAAATTATAAAGGATTTAAAAATATATATATAAATGGGGAATATCGCGCTTTTGACAATCGCTGCAAGTGTGTGGGCTAAATTTGGAGAATCCGTGCTTCTCGCATGGACAACTGTATGTGGCCAGCTCACGCGTCGGAAAACCTTCCGAATTATTCGTGTACGCACCAGACGAAAAAACAAAAAATATCGTGTATCCACGAGCACTCCAATAAATAAATAGAATTGAAACGACACTTTGAAATGTTTTCCCGATGAAAACGAATAATAATAATATATTTCAATAAAAATGATAAAATGAAAATTTAATTTTATTATAACGAGTTTGCTTGAATTTCATCTCTTCTGAGATCGCAGCAATGCGCGACGGGTAAGCTAGTATAAAATAAAATAAGATACGTAGGGTTCTTATATTATAATGTTAATGTTATGATTAATAAATGTTTTATCGTGTAACTTTCATTATATTCTATAATTTGTAGAAAGTAATGGAGATATTTTATCGATCTGCTGGCATATAATAGGTTTAATGTCGATTGTGTTTACATATGTTAAAAAAGCTCAATATGTTTTAATTTTTGTAAAATATTGAGAACTAAATTAATTTCTGTAACATTTTTCTTCTGTTAGGATTATTTTTTCTTCCGTCTTTGACTCTTCTCTTTTATGGGTACCATAATTGTCTTTGTAAGTTTCGTGGGTTAGACAGGGTCACATTAGTATGTGGAGCAACGTATCCAGAGAAGACCGATAGTGAAAAATTTGGTACCCTTTGCTTAACGGGACACCAGTGAAGAGATGAAATCCTATTTACAATAATTTAGATTTAAATTGTATATAAAGTTAATCAGAATGCAACCCTACCTTTTTAAGTATGTATTAAAGTTATAAAAGTTTTGTTTATTTACTATAAAAGCGATTTATGAATTTAAACAATGATTGTTAATACACGTTTTTTATATCAAAAATGATTAGCATATTTTCGTGTTGGCATAATTCAAGAAGTTAAATTTCAACTTCTAGTTGTATAATATACATATACATATTTATTATTTGTCATTTGGTAATAAGGTCGAAATTAAGATAATATTAAAACTTACATTAACATTTATTTTAAATTTCATTTTTTCAACCCTTTGCATAGTATGGCGCTTCAGTTGCATCATTCAACATAATGTGGTTATGTAAAATACATTACATTTTACGAGTAATGTACTGTACCCGAAACTTAGATACTGTAATGTTTTTCTCAAAGTTTGTTGTAATTGTTTCTTTTGGTCAGTTTGTTGTTATTCGATTTAAACTAGATATTAGAATATGGCAATTGTCAAATGACTAAGAAATTGCGATTCGCTTTTTTTTAGAGACTCGGATCTTACATAATGAGTTAGGAAACATTCTAAGCAAGATTGTTAATCGGAATGATTATATGCGTTATACTTGTACTAATGTTTTAATATCTTTACTCAATGTAAAACAAAGTCGAGGTGTACAAAAATTGATTTACATGTAGAAAACAAAATGTCGGACGTGTTCTTCCGCAGTAGTGGGTATTCGATAGAATTAGCCGTAATTTGAAAGAGTGGTTTTTAGTCACCGTGCAAGACCGTTGAGCTAAAACATATACGAAATAACGTGAAAGAATAATATTTTGCGTGTAAACCACAGTTATAAACGTTGTATACCCTGAAACTTGATGTCAGACTCAAAACATACAAATTGTAGTAAGCTTATTTTTTTTTATAATTGTTCAGTATTTTATTGTAATTTGAAGCATAGAATTACGAAATAGAATATCAATTTCACTAAAAACAGTAGTAAAAATGACTGGTATTCCGTTAAGCAAAGAGTACCATAAATTTCCTGGGAAGTTGCTCATCCTGTTTCATAGTTTCAGCGTGCTAGATTAACGCATTAACTGCTTCGTATTGATATTGGTGTAATTATTAATTAAATAGCTTTTGATAAGGCAGTTTTGCATAAACTTTTAAAATATTTTAGGAAAAGTAAAAAAGGAAACTTTCATTAATCATTCCTTTTATTATTGATTTGATTGGAAGTGGCCTCGCCTCCACCATATACGTCATTTTCGGAAGTAACGTGACTTCGGTACAAACCGGAAGTTCCTGTAAAGTTAATCCGATTTCCTGCCTTAAGCTTACCATATTAAGTTTCGAATTTCATCTAACTCCTTTCTCCAGATTAAGGAAGAACAGACAGTCAGAGGGAGGACAGTGCAAATTTATAGATCTACAGTTTTTCAAATTACAGTTCAATAATTTTACTATAAACGCGATATTTACGAGAACATACATCCCATGTNCTTTTGTAGAGTCATGTCTGAGTTGACATGACTCATCTTTGCTCTTAGTCATTGTTTGTTTATTGATTACTTTGACTGAGTTCTTTATGTAAATATTGCCGAAAACAAGGGGAGGGCAATGTTCTCCATTTCTATATATATCTTTTATAATTTTTGATAATTTGGTTGCTCCTTTTTCTTTTCTTTGGCATGTTGTGAGATTTCTGATAGTTGGATAATAAACCGTTTTATTCTAATTAATTTAAGTTGATATTAAAATTTGGAAAAGAGGGGGTTCCTAGATTGGTAAAATAGGCGAATTTCCTCTTACAACTTCGGTTGTTATCCAAGATACAATTAAGGTTCACGCGAATACATAATTAAAAAGATATAAAGTAAATGAACAACAATTATTACAAATAAGTTTACATATATATATATGTAAACCTATTTGTAATAATTTTTGTTCATTTACTTTATATCTTTTTAATTATGTATTCGCGTGAACCTTAATTGTATCTTGGATAACAACCGAAGTTGTAAGAGGAAATTCGCCTATTTTACCAATCTAGGAACCCCCTCTTTTCCAAATTTTAATATCAACTTAAATTAATTAGAATAAAACGGTTTATTATCCAACTATCAGAAATCTCACAACATGCCAAAGAAAAGAAAAAGGAGCAACCAAATTATCAAAAATTATAAAAGATATATATAGAAATGGAGAACATTGCCCTCCCCTTGTTTTCGGCAATATTTACATAAAGAACTCAGTCAAAGTAATCAATAAACAAACAATGACTAAGAGCAAAGATGAGTCATGTCAACTCAGACATGACTCTACAAAAGCTCGATGTCATCACCACATAAAAAAACACTGCCTCAGCTACAATGATGACACTGCCAATGAATCATCACCCGATGATGAACTTTCTCATGTTGTAAGGGTTTAAAAGGAGAGCTCCAACCAGAGAAAGGCAGTTGAGTTGCAGACGCTGTCACAGAAAGAGTTGTTGCAGAACGAGTTGGAGTCGCAGTCACAATCAGACAGACAGAAATTCAAAGAGTGAAACCAGATGAGCACCAGAGCAAGAGTGGTTCAAGAAAGGACGACTCAAAAACGAGCAAGCACAAGACGAAGTGCAGCAAACAGCAGGAACTTCCGCAGTCTTGGCCGTCAAGTCCACGTCACAACAGAAGACATCATGTTTACGGGTATGTTGTGAGTCGCGTAAGTTCGAATACCCCCTCGTTAGGCACCCCCTCGTTATATATATAAAAATAGGCAAATTTCCAAAAACGGCTATTATAATTCTGTTCTAAACTTTCGTTTATGTTAATAAATGTCCTTAAATGGGTTATATCTGACACTGCATTCTTCCTCCTGAGAGGCTCATTCCTGGACTTCAGAGTGACACTTTCCCTCGCGCCTTAATCATCCATTTCATCTCAAACGGCGGTGTGTCCGATAAAACACACCTGGTGGCAGGACTCTACCTAAAAAAGTACGTAATAAATCTTTACGGGCCCCGAACCCCACAATTCTCCTATCGTACCTAGCAGTATGGTGGCATTCGAATAGGAAAATTACATAATACAAGGTTACCGGCTTGCACAAAATATGTTTTAAGCGGTTTTCGATGGTGCCGAGTTTAAATATTTGGTCGGTTTTTCGCAAAAATTTGATTTGGTTAGCAGATTACCGTTTGGTATGAATGGCACAATTTCATAGTTAACATTAGGAAAACATATGATATGATTAATATATTTAAAAATTTTTAAGATATTTTCAATTGATGTCTACTTAACCAATTACGTACCATTCGAGTATTGCGATAAATATGACGATGATAGGCTGAAATTACCAAAGTCTTTACATGGTTTTCGTTTTAATAATTCTTATATTATTGTATTTGATTTATGTAACAAGAAAGATTATCTTACGTAAGGGAGATTATCTTACGTACCCCGAATAACTCCAATCTAACACATTTTAAAATTCTTTATTCCTCTACTGTACACAATTTCAAGAATTTTTAAAATGTGTTAAATTGGACACTTGGTGTGATAAACTCTTACGTATAAGATAAATTTTGTTATATTATAGTATTTGATTTTTATATACAAAGAGATAGAAGTACGAAATAATCTAGTAAACTTAATTTTTGCAGTTGTTTTTTACGCCGGATTCATCTGATAGTTATATATAGTTTAATACTTCATATTGTTTTGATCATTGTAGTTTAGTACAGTATTATGCTAATGTGCAAAAATTGAAACAGATATAGAAAGTTATGAATGACAGGCTTTATATAAATAATTTTAACTTTGTTTTGGAATTTTTATTTAGATGACTCAATAGATTTAAATTAGATGATTTTTTTTTAATTTTCATTTGCTTTTTATAAATATAAATGTTTGTTTATATTATTTACTAAAATTTACTATTCCTTTCTCGTAAATTTAGGTCAGATTTCAAGTTTGAGTTACCCTGGACGTATACAGATTAAGAGAGAGGAAACTAGTAAGCAAACACCTAACATAATTAAATGCTCAAGTAGAACTTTACTTAATCCAAAAGAAATAAGAGAAAAATCTGAACAAAAACGAGATGTCGATGTAATTACACATACTACTGAAACTAGTGCTATAAACTCAGATGCTGTAGAATCTAAAATGCAAACTTTTAGTCTTCCTAAAATCTCTCAAGGAAAACTTACCACATTCGAAGAAACTAACACTAGTGAAATGACTGAGGCTATGTCCGAATCACAGAAAGCAAGAACAAGTAAAATTGAAGCGCAAGAAATTGTTCACCCTTGCTATATATTAAATTTCGAACACAAATTTCTAACTAACGGTCTTGCTGTAGCTTATGATAAAGCAACATCAACAACAAGAATCTTAGGATTCGGTCGTGGACAACACAATTCTACTACTAACTAAACTGAATCTGAGTTTGAATCCGTTTTTACTGTTAAACCTTTAACACGTGGTTATAAGTTTGAAATAGTTGCCATCTCTAAACAAGAATGTAAAACTAAATCTATTTGTTCTTCGTCTAAAAATTCAACAGTTGCTACTATTACTAGTCCGAGTAAAGCTGACTGTAAAAAAGAAAAGTTCCGCCTCTTCCAGTCACATCCAGCTCAAAAATCAAAAGTTGATAAGTCTTCCAGTTGTACTTGGAGCATTGTCAGGTCACAGACACGAAGCATCTAGCAGGTCGAAATTGGATGATGAAAAAGAAACATCTACAACTCCATCATAATCTATACAAAAATAAGAACATCACCTTCAAGTCTATTCCAGTCTGTACAGAAAATAGAAACGTTTCACAGCACTCCAAGAACATCTGAAATCACAATAAAACTCTTTCACTTTTCCTAGCTCAAAAAAAGAAAGTTCAACGTGCAGTCGAAAATTTGGCGAATTTCTCTAAGCTGCCGTAATGGCAGTTCCTGATATAAATATACAAAACTTGGGTATTTACAGAACTTCGTCCTAAAATAAGCAAAGAAGTTGCATCAGAATCATGAGAAACTAAAACTGAAAATGAAGCTAGACCTATAAGAATGAAGACCTGGAAAAAGTGAATAAATGGAAGAGATTTTGCCTACAAGTAGCGTAGAAAAAGTTTATACTTGAGAATTAACATATTCCAAATCTTGTGAATTTGCCATATTCATTTTAAAGGTAATGATTTTTTTTTCATAAATACAAATCAATTTCGATTATTTAAAAGAATTTTTTAGATTAAATATTTTAATTTACATATGGATATTTCGTGTTTTTAAAATAATTTTATTAGCATATACTTATACAAAACAATTGAAACAGTGATGAATTTGAACAACTCTTAATGTCTGCTTGATATAAAACTTCGTATAAGAAAAATTTCATTTTTTTTAGTTAACAGGGTCTGAGCTTCAAATATTTGACTTTAATTTTGCACAATACTTTATGAAAGCTTTTTACACATTTTTTTTCTTCGGAGATAAATCTGGCCAATAAAATTGCCTAATGTATTAGTTCTCAACCGGAATGCTATGGCACACTAAATTACCAGAGTTACACACACTCCTCAAGTGTGTGTAACTCTATTGAGCAGTGCTGAGCAGGATCATAACACTTGCTGTGTGTAAGCCTACTACTAAAAGTACGAATAGCGCTATTTTAACTCTCAATATATACATTGATTAATTAAAAAAAGTAGGGGTCCATAAGAAAAAAAGATATACTAAGTGAGGCGTAACTATTAGAAAACCATTGAAAACCTCCGGCGTAGTGCATATAACCACTGAAAACATAGTTGAGAATGGATTTGCATGTAAAATATTTCGGGTTTTCGTTATCTGTCTAATAATTAAATAAAAACTAGTTTACCGTAGAAGGTATTTTTCTTTGAAAGATCTCCCATGTGTTTTGTTATGCCATTAATCGATGATTTATTGATAGGACAATGCAACACATGGGCGATCAATACTCTATATAGAGAGTATTTATGAGGTTCTATTTATTATTATAGTGTTAATGAAGTATCTTACAGGGCATATATATAAATGCGTAGTATTATACCGGATCAAAGCCAAGACAACTACAAAAAATAAATGTTTTGTTTACGTGTAGTTCATCTAAATAGTCCTAATATTTCGAGACTTTTGTGTAATGTAAATGATATGAGGCCTGTGCGAAAAAGACTTTGCTTAAGAAGTACTGTACCTCCATCCATTTTCCAAAAATGTCTTAATTCGTAACCAAATTCTGAGTATTTACCAATTCTTTTGATATGTATATTTTGAGTGTTTACTTGCAACATACAAATTACGCAGCTAGGTCTTTAATGTATGTGACTATTTTTTGACAATGAACGTGATATATGTTCTGTTGTGGTAAAGTTTTTTTCTATTATTATGGCACGGTCATTGTATATTTTGTGTTTCCTACGACTGTGTGAAAAGAGTATTTATAGTGTAATTCCTCGGTGTGTAGAAGTTTGTGTGCAAGTTTATGTATATTCTCTATTTGGTTCTGTGAACGTAAATAGTCAGTTTATTAAATTCTCTGAACCTGAAATGATGTATAGTTAATGTGGTGGTATTTCTTACAAGTGCCATCTGTGAGTGTTGTCTTTTATGATATGCATTCTTTCGTTTCTTCAATTTTATTACCTGGTCTTGTACAGCAATCATGAATCCTATCTTCTCTTCAAAAACGCATCCATAAATCATGCATAAGTTTGACAGCTATTATTAATATTATTAAAGTATATAATTTTGTCTAATTCTAAATAAAAACCCTTTTTTAATGAAAATAATTTTAATTAATTTTTGTTTTTATTTCAGAATTTTAAAGAAAACTGATTGGGATGAAATTAAATATGAACTTAACGAACTGAAGAAGTTGAATGCTTTTACTCTTGTTACTTATATCTTAATGTCTTTTAACGGTCTTAATGTGAATGTTTTAATATTGTTTGATAATTACAAAAAGTTTTTACATTTGTCAATTATTATAATCTAAGCAGTTGTATTTCTTTGCTTTTGTAAAAGTGATTTTACGTGTTTCATAAAACACCTCTACATTGAATTAAAATACGAAGAAAGGAAAGAACAAATCTTTGAATTATTTTCGTGTACTTTAAATTATCTAATGAAAATATATTATACTTTTATAAATTCTATATTACATACAGTAGAGCGTGGTTTATCCGAAAGCATTCCAGTCCGCAAATTTAAATTTTCGCTAGTGCTGTAGCGCTGCAATCTTTGGCTATATCTTAGGCTACTCCAATATTTTTTTTGTTGGTGTGTGTGTTTTAGCTGGTAGCACTGGCACTTTTGTGTAGTGTTTTCCTGAGGACTGTCATGCTGAATCGAACGTTTTTGATACTAGATTAACTTCTAAAGTATATATTTTTTTGTTTTTATATTTTTATTTTGCTTGTAAAAAAATAAAGAAATAATCGTTGCTATTGTATCGTTAAAAATTATTATTTCTAAAAGTTTACGTTAGGCTTAACATCGACGAAAATTCAACACGAAGCGACACGCAACGGAAAAAAATTTTAACACGGGGTAAATTAATACATTTTTTCGTACATAATCGGTTATCCGAAATAAGTTATCCGAACGACCTCCTCTCCAATTGATTCGGATAAACGACGCTCTACTATATATGTATTTAAATTTTTTCTGTTCAACCTCATTCCACATCAAAAAATAGAATAAAAACATAAAATATAGTAATTTTTTAAAGCTTTACTAAATATTTTTCTTAAATGTTTAAAGACTGAAGATAGAAATAAAAACGCAACGTTTTATTGGAAGCATAGGTGTTCCCGGTATCCTAATTAAAGCATTCGTTTTAGCTGCCAATGTCATTCGTTCATTAAATATTAGATCATTATAAAAATAAAATGTTTATTAATATATATAATGTTGGGTAAAATACACATATATTCTAGTTTAAAACGTTATAAATTTGTGATTGTCACACAGTAGAAGAGACTGAATGAGAGAACAAATTATATCAAAATTTACGATATAGCATTTTGATGGCTATCACAAACAGCTTCTGTAACTAAAATACCGAGATACAATATGAAGACGTCTGTTAAGTTACTCATTGTGCTATAGTTGATGTGATTTGTTGCCTACTTTCATAAAGTAAAATGCTAAATTTCTAAATGTATTTAAGGTTAGTGACAAAATACTTTTTTACTAATTCCAGTTCGTGACACTTGAAATACTCGCAGACTTCTTTCAATCTTAGGTTTACCCGTGATCCAAATACTTTTTTACTGTTTCATCACTCGACTGGAGTGAACCATAATTTAAAAATAGTGTTAAGATTTGAATAATTTATCGCTTCTTAAATAATCAAAAGTTTTATGTTCAGTAATTTGAGCAATTTGAATTGATTGTATTTTTATTTCCGTGCTGCTACTCTGTTAACGGGGTACGAGTTGTAACTTTAATCCGATGCGTAATATCATCCCAAGTGCAAGGAGCTCGCTGTTGCTCGCAGTAAAGCTCACGACTACATGCAGAGCATGGAGAACAGGCAATATATTGATACATGTTAAAAACATCTTTCGGAGGCCAATACATTTCGTATCCCGCCAAGGGTCGCATGTACAGGAATGCTTCCTTTGACTTTTTTGCTCTTATAGGGGTTAATAATTCTGAGGGATGCGAAACCATTCATTCAGAGCTTGGATCTTACCCGTTGCTGTACATATCGACTGGTGTCCCGTTAACAGAAAAGTACCTATTCCGTATTGATATTGAAG